TGGAGATGCTGGATCAGCCCTTGCCGGCAGAGCAGGTGAGCATGAGCATGGGGAGTCGGGGCGGGAGGCTTGGGCCCCTGGGTGCTGCTCCCGGACAGGCTCAGTAGAAACACTTGTTAACTGAGGAGAATCTGCAGTCTTTTCTCACCACCACCACCCTCTAAACACAGGCCAGTACCCTGACTCTCAGCCTATTTCTTCTGAGGAGGGGGGTGGTCCTAGCTCAGTGGGTTGCTTGTTATAGCACCTGTGCCTTTTGGAATTCACCCTCAGGAGCTGTCTCTCACACTGAAGGGGGTGGGGTGGGGTTTGCTGCTCTCTTAGCAGTAGCAGTTGGTGGCCACTGAGACCCAGGCCCTTCAGAACTAGGAACGCAATTTTAGTCTTGGGGAAAGTAAAAAAAAAAAGTTTGGGGGAAATTAAACTGAAATTTGTGAAGTGGGTGACAGAAACAACCACTTCCCTTCTCTTCGATCCGGATGCATCTGGGAACCCCTTACCTGGTGGACGGTTTCTGGAATGAGATCCTGACGGGAGCAGGCGTGGAGCAGTTGGGGTCGAGCCTTCCACCAAACCTGCTCTGGGCACGCGGTTGGCGTAGGATGGGCTTTTTGCAGAGGCACTCCCTGGACTAATGCTTGTGCTCTGGCCTGGCTGGTGGACAGGCCGGCAGCCTTGGGCATGCAGTGTCCAGCCCTGGGAGCAAAGTAGGGGCTGCTGCTGGGAGACCACGGGGGCTCTGATGGCTGTCTTTCCCTCCCTGCTGCAGTGCACACAGGAAGACGTGTCTTCAGAAGACGAAGATGAGGAGATGCCTGAGGTAGGCTTGCAAGCAAGCACCCACATGGCATGGGAGTTCTTTCTGTCAGCAGCATGGGTCAGCCAGTTGTGGAGCCCACAACCAGAAGCAGGGGCAGGAAAATACCAAGGGAATCATGGCAAATTGACTGATCTAGAGTGGCCGTCCAGGTCATGGGGGAGGCCGGAAGCACATCCAACCACCGCAGGATCCAGTACAGATGTGATCCAACAGTTGTGTCCGACTGTGTGCATCCCTGGTCTCCTCATGTGTTAATTGGGGACTTGCCCCTAGGCCCACTAAGCTACGGTTTTCTAATGTGTAAAGTACCTGCGTGCAGGTTGTCCCGACGATAAAGGTGTTACATGTAGGATGTGTTGCATATAGTACATGACAGCTGGTCAGTAATTTTTCTGATCTACAAAAAAATATTTCGAAAGAGTAGAGTTTATCAATGAAGAACGTGATTTCAGCACCAGCCAGAAGGTGATTCAAGCCTTATCTCAACTAAGAGTTGCATGATTTTGGTTGTGATAGTTGGCCTCGCCAGACCTTGGCTTCCTGGTCTAGAGAGTGGGGAACAAGGAGAGCGTGGGTGATGGTTGAGTGAAATGAGCAAGGGTGGTGTGTCTACTGCCTGGCTGGGGGCGGGGGAAGGCGGGCAGCCTTTGGTATGGTTTGTGACCAGGCTTGGAGGTGAGCAGTCTCACTTCTCGTGAAGCAGGGAGACCACATCCTAGATCTGCCACTTCTGAAACTTTGTCAGAGGCCACCTGGAGCTGGTGGTCCATGAAGCTCAGTGGGTGCCCTTGGCACTACTGCCACCCCACCCCGGTTCTCACCGAGGGCTTGGGCCCTAGACACGGGCTTCTCCACTTGGGCCTGGTGAGCTACTGCAGGCCTCCCCTGTGGACTGCTCCTTCCTTCCTGGACCCCTGTCTCCTCGCCGCCTCAGTGGTGCGTCTCTCTGACCCCGTTCCTGGAGAGGAAGTCTCAGGTTCGGTGTCTCCTGCACACGGCCCTACGAGCGCTGGAGTGCAGGAGTCCCCTAGTGACATACGAGCCGTGAGTCTTGTCAGGTCAGGGTCATTCTGCTAGGAATCTGGGAAGCATCTGTGCCGCCAGGGAAGAGTTTTGGGGATGGCGGGAGCAGGTCAGCCTGGAGGACAAGTCTCTGCCTGCTTTCCTTCAGTCCTTCCCAGAGCTCATGAAACCCGAGTAAGAGTCCATTTGCCTTGCCTTTTTACACTGGAGAGAGGCTGGGGATGTCCCGGAAAATGGAAAAGGTGGTGTGTTCATAGACTGTGGCTCTTGGCCAGCCGAGACTGGGAGAGGATGGCCCTGCCACACCCCATGTTGGTTTTGTCCCTCCTGTCCCCCTCCATCAGGACACGGAAGACCTGGATCACTATGAAATGAAAGAGGAGGAGCCAGCTGAGGGCAAGAAGTCTGAAGACGACGGCATTGGGAAAGAAAACTTGGCCATATTAGAGAAAATTAAAAAGAACCAGAGGCAAGATTACTTAAATGTACGTGCCCTCTAGGGGAGCGAGGCTGGGCAGAGTGGGTGGTGGATTCCCGCTGGGAGGTGGCAGGCCGTCATTTGTTATTCAGAGGGGAGCACTTACGAATTATGGATGTGCCTGATTGTTCTAAATTCTGGGCAAGCCCCTAGGGACTAGGACACGTACCCCAGACCCTGGGACATCCCTGTCGCCCCCTCTTGCAGGGTGCGGTGTCTGGCTCGGTGCAGGCCACTGACCGGCTGATGAAGGAGCTCAGGGATATATACCGATCACAGAGTTACAAAGGCGGTGAGTCCACTTCGGGTGTCCCTGAGTGAGAGGGAGGGCCTGTGATGGTGGGGAGGCGCCCCAGGGGGTTCTGGGATACATGGGTGCTTATGAAGTTTTCCAACCAAGGAAGGAGCTGTGGCTCCTTCCCTCAGGGCGGCCTTGAGGCCTTTGGTCCTTTTCTCTCCTGGGGGAAGGGATCTGCATGGGGGACCTGTCCCCACCTGGACCACCCCAGTCACACCTGTCCTCCTCCTCCCAGGAAACTATGCAGTGGAACTGGTGAATGACAGTCTGTATGATTGGAATGTCAAACTCCTCAAGTGAGTGGGGTCTCCCCCAGGGGTGGACAAGAAGTGGAGGAGTGGTGTGGACGGAGCTGCTGCGGTGGGCATCTCCAGGGCAACCCATCAGCCCGTTGGTTGTGGGTTGTGTGCTGGCCTCTCGGCTGACCCCAAACCTTTGTCTCTCAGAGTTGACCAGGACAGCGCTTTGCACAATGACCTCCAGATCCTCAAAGAGAAAGAGGGAGCTGACTTCATCTTACTGAACTTTTCCTTTAAGGTGAGAAGGCCACCTTGGCAGCCCCTCTTCTCTCCCTCCCTTCCCACATCTGGGTGCCCTGGTACCTTAGCGCCCGCACAGTGAGGGGTGCCGCCCTCCCTGATGGCTGTCTCCCTCTCTCTCAGGATAACTTTCCCTTTGACCCACCGTTCGTCAGGGTTGTGTCTCCAGTCCTCTCCGGAGGGTGAGTTGGGGGGGAGGGTGAAGCAGGGCTGGCCTTGCAGCTCGGGGCCCATAGAGCTGGCTGACCTTTCTTCCGCAGGTATGTTCTGGGTGGAGGCGCCATCTGCATGGAACTCCTCACTAAACAGGTGAACTTCTCGCACGCTCTTGCGGGGGCGGGGGTGGGGGCAGGCCGGGCTAGGTGAGCTTGACCACATGCACACCCCTGTGGGCCGGCTGGTAGGCTTCAGGGGACCCTTTCACGCTGCCTTGGCACCTGGGTGTGAGCTGTGTGGAGTGAAGGGCAGGTCCTGCTGGGCGCGCACCGGTCCAATGGCCGCTTTGCCCCCCCAGGGCTGGAGCAGCGCCTACTCCATCGAGTCCGTGATCATGCAGATCAGCGCCACGCTGGTGAAGGGAAAAGCGCGCGTGCAGTTCGGAGCCAACAAAGTACGGGTCTGGGGCCCGAGGGTGCGGCCTGGGCTGGGGGCCCAGCAGAGCGGGCCTGAGGGGCAGCCGAACCTTGGAGGGCACAGGGGTAGAAAGCGAAGGCCTCTGGACTCTGCCCCAAAGGAGCCTCCTCAGGTGGCGGGCTCTCGTGTGTTGGGGGTGGGGGCAGCTGGCTGCGGCCTGATGGGCTGTTTCCCCTCCGCAGTCTCAGTACAGTCTGACGAGAGCACAGCAGTCCTACAAGTCCTTGGTGCAGATCCACGAAAAAAACGGTAAGGCTGGGGCCACGCCACTTGGAGACCCCTTCATCTGGGTTCTGAGACCCCTCCCCCATCCCCAGCACTACCACAGCACCAACCCTGCCCACCAAAGAGGGCTGGAGGTGTGCCTCTGCCCACAGCCGCTTCCCCCTGCACCGTGGGTCCTAGCCTTTGTAGACCAGGTTGCTACCCCTTCCCCTGCCACCCTTTGAAAAGGCTCATCGTTTCCTCCTGTCATCTGGGGTGGGGTCCATACGCATCATTTCTCTTCCCTTTATTCTCCAGGTAGGAGGTCCTCAGCTCCCAGCCACCACCTCTCCCCCAGCACTGGGCAGGCCTTCCTAGCTCTTTCCATCTCAAGTACAGGGCTGAGGGCTCGACTGCAGCCCCATGCCCGCCCTGACCGGGTTTGCTTCTGTTCCTCTGCAGGCTGGTACACACCCCCAAAGGAAGATGGCTAACTCCGGAGAGCCCTCCCGGCACTCCTCCCCCAGGCACCACTGGACCAATTACCTTTGAATGCTGTATTTGGATCTCACGCTGCCTCTGTGGTTCCCTCCCTCCTCTTCCTGGATGGAATAGCTCTGCCTATTGCAGGACAATGATGGCTATTCTAAACGCTAAGGGAAAAACAACACACAGAACCAACCACCTTGCTGGAACCCTTGCTAGCAGGCATTCTTATGAACGAAACTCTCGAGCCTCCTTAAGTTGCTGGGACTCAGCCGTGCTCCAGACTAGAGCCTCCTTACCTATGCTATGGATTTTTAATTTATTTTCTCTTCTTTCATGTACACTGCTTTTTTTGGTTACAGTGTATGATGGATGTGTATGAAAAAAAAATGTATCTTTGGGAAAACAATTACAGTTTGTTAATTTGAAGATGCTGGTCTTGACTCCTCTTTATTTTGACTCCCACGTCCCACCCCCACCCCATCCCCTGGACTTCCTTGCGAGGTGGGGCCGGGCTTCGTGCCCTCTTGGTTGGCAGAGAGACCGACACCCCAGACGAGGCCGAACTTTGCCGCTGAGCCCAGAGGACTGGAGGGCCAGCCTCGCCGTGGTCACCCCGCCCCTGGCGCTGGGTTTCTCCCAAAGGCTCCGGAACCACAGCACCTGTTGCCCTCGGAGTGGAGCTCCTGGCCTGCTGCACTACCAGGTAGTAGGCTGAGGCGACGGCCGAATTCCTAGGACTGCTTTTCTCATCGCCGAAATGCTTTCAAGTTTCTAGGAAGAGGAAGGAGAAGGCTTAAGAGGCTGCTTCACAGAATTGCTTTCCAAGGAACTGAGTGGGAGCAGGGGCAGAGGCTGCAGTGTCTGTGGTCTTTTCTGGTGGCAGCGATGTGCCGGTAGCTTGGCCTCGGGGGTCTTCCTTGCTTCCCCTCCCACCCAGGAAGCAGGCGGCCTCTAGGTAGCAGAGTGGTGACTGGCTCACCTTCCTCCTCCATTGCATCTTGTAAGAGTCGGTAGAGGTAAGAAGTCAGTTGCCTGGCTTGGGGAATTGTGGGTTCTGTCCAGCCCGTTCTCCACAAAGTGGATGCTACCGGAAAGTGTTTTAGCTTGGGGGCAGGTGGAGGAGGGGTTGCTAACTACAGCTGTGTTCTTACCCCCTGGGAATGGGAGGGTCATCAGCTCGGGCTGCTTGTACACGGGGCCACCCCTCGGAGCTGTGCCAAGAGACTGGATGGTGAACGCCATGACGGAGGGAGGCCGAGGTGGTGACTTGGAGACCTGCTAGAGACCCCAGACTTGGGAGCCGGCAGGATGCAGGGCTTGGGCCATTTCCTCCCTTTTGAGGGGCAGGAAGGCGTTGCTGCTTCAGGCGGATGGCAGGTTCGCCAGCCCCACTCAGTGCTGCTACGCCCACCCCCGCCTGATGGAGGGCGCTGAGACACGCTCGCCTCACACACTGGACGTGTCGAGAGACCAGTCCCTGGAGAAGGACCTCGTGCATGGTGAAGCAGATGGGCAGCAAGAGGAAGGCCCTAGACAAGATGGATTGACACCGGGCCTGCAGCCCTGGCCTCAGGCGTGGGAACCGCTGTGAGGACGGCGCAGGACCCGGGAGTGTTTCGTTCTGATGTGTGTAGGGTCGCTACGGTCCAGAACGGAGTCAATGGCACCTGACACCGACAGCATATACAGATGGGACAGAGGGGCCTCGAGGGGAGACTTCACTGCAGGGAGCCAAGGCCTGGTTCTCAGGCTCCTGAGGCCTCTCTTTGGACTTAGCACCAGCCCTGGCTGGGGTGTGGAATTGTGTTCTTTGTAGCGTGTACTGTGAGCTGTCCTCTGTACAATGTATTTTGTAACGTATTTTTCTCATCTACCAAAGGATGAAGCAAATAAAAGATATTTAAATAGTTAGCCTCTGATGAGTTGATTCGGAGGAATCATTGCATTCACACTCAGCCTGCTGGGAAGCACTCACGCCCGTGGTCCGTGGGCGCCAACTCCCAGAGCACCCACCCCCACTGCTCTGGCCAAATGTGCCCTTAAAGTTAAAACAAAGTTGCAATGCACGAGAAAGAGGACTCAAGGTCGTCTTGCCTGGAGCAGATTTTCTTCTCTCCACAAAGAAGGCAAGGAGAGATGGAGCCACCTCTCAAGCCTCGACCTCTACCCAGGGAAATGGTGTGGAAGCCATGCTGACTGCCTCTGTGTCAGCGGGGTGATGGGGGCGGAGAGAAGCCCCCCCACGCCACCCGCAGAGGTCAGATGTGCTGTCAGCCCCCACCCTTTTCCCTATTCTGACACCAACCAGAGGAGCCCCCTGAACTGCCAACCAGGGTCTGCGCCCACAAAGATCGACAGCCTTGGAGACCCTTAGAGGCCATTGGACGCTGCCCTATAGGGTTGCCATGAGTAAAAATTAGCTTGGTGACAGTGAACTTTTTGTGTTGACACCAACCATCCCTCCCACAGCACTCTGCCTTCCCTGCTGGGCTCCGTAGTCCATACGGCCACGGCCACACGCCTGGCAGAGAGCACTCTGCGAGGTTGCAGGGTTAGTAAGTTCTCACAAGGATCGGAGGCATTGTGAGGAGAGTCCTTTTGCTGCAAGCATGCTGCTTCTGAACCAGACAGGCCGGAGTCTCTGAGCCTTTGGCCTCGGCTGCTTTGCACCAGTGTTACTGATAAATGTCCCAAGGGCACCCATTTTGCAAGCCAGTCTCCTGCTCAAAGGCACTTGGCTTTCTTTGTCCTGAGGGCTGGGAAGCCCACGGCTCTGTCCCACGGTCTGGTGCTGTGCCCTCTGCGCCTCCCTTTCAGGCTGGGCTGCTGCCACTTCACACGGGTCTCGCCTGCACTCTACTAGCGGCTCTTCTTAATTGAGGGCTGTGGGGTTCTTTGCTGCTGCTTATACCCTGAAGAAGAGCGGAAGTGCCCGGTCCGAGGATGCTCCCACACCGTCATCTGGTAGGAGGGTTTAGACGACGGATGAGATAGCCCCATAGTCCTTTCACTTCGCCCAAACCCCTCATGAGCATCTCAAGCCCAGGTGGGGCTGGCCTGGCCCAGAGCCCACAGACCAGGCCCTGGAGGAGCAGACAAGGCCCATCAGCTTCTCAGTTCTGCAGCGGTTTAGATAGCAGGGAACAGGTAGAGGGTCTCAATCACACCCACATTTATTTGCCAAGATGATGGCTCTGTTGGTTCAACGTTCTACCCATTCTTCACAGAGAACCTGCAGGGGACCCTGTGTTCTCCGGAACGCATTGCCCGCTGCCGTCAGGTTGATTCATAGGGACCCTATCCAGGTTGTCTAAGGCGGTAAATCTTTATGGATACAGACTGCATCATCTTTCCCAGAACAGCCATTGGGTTTGAACCACCGACCTTTGGGTCCACAGTCCAACACCTAACCTACAGCACCATCAGGGGTCCTTCTAGAACCCATTAGATTAGAGGAGGAGCAGCAGGGCTACCTCCGGCTTCCCGGGGAGCTTCCTGCGCTTGCTTCCAATGCTCGCAAGGATTGAGGGAGGGGAGGCGCGTGAGAAACGGAGACGTCTGTCCCCGCCTTTGTCTTTGAGCGGTGAGCCAGTCGGGAAGACATCTGGTCAACCGGGGCCCCAGCTCGGGGTCGGTCACTGCAGAGGCCCCGAGGGTAAAAAGGAACGTGAGCTCACGAGGCCGAGGACAGGAAGGCAGCCGCCTGTTCCCCGTGGACTGTGGAGGTGGACTAGTGCGCACGCTTCTGGATGCGGCCGGCCATGTGCACTACTAGCCAATCAAACGGGGAAAAAGGCTGGGGCACAAGAAGGTAGAGTGAGACCCACAATAGATCTGAGGGGGGCGGGGCAGGGGTCACCTCATTCATTCAGACCCTTCAGACGTCAGGATGTGCAGCTGGGAGAGAAAGAGAAAACCCCGTTGGGAAGGCAGGCCTGCCCGCTGCAGGTCCGCTGCCCGTCCTCTCCCCGCCCCCCCACCCCACCCCCATCCCCACCCCCACCCCAGTCTGCTGTCGAGGGCCATGGCAAGGGGGCCGTGGCAGCCAGGCCTGGGCAGAGGCCTGCAACTGAGATGCCAGTGTGGTAGAGGCCAGGGACCGGCCGACTTAGACACCACCAACTTCAGGTGTTCCCTTGAGGACCTCGGTGACAGGTAACCTGCTACCAACTCTAAATCACCCAACAACCGAGACTCGGAGGGGCCCCCTGGTCGGGCAGGAGGGGTGAGGCAGCCAGTGTGAGGACACCGTGGGGGGGGGGGTAGGAGGGCAAAGTGAGAGCCTATCCAAGGAGGAGGCATTTATTAGGGTTGTTAAAATAATGACAGGGATCGGAGACCCTCTGTTCTCTAGTGGGAAATTCGACTGGGGACAGCCACTGTGCTCGCTCTGAGCTGCACCGAGGGTTTCTGTGCCAAGAGGTGGAGAGAGAAACCTCGTGAGCTCGGAGAGCGAGCGAGCGTTCTTACACGCTGGAAGCAGGGAGGCCAGGGAGCTGGCCGGAAGTCCTCCCTGGGTCCTGCCACCTCCCCTGAGCCGGGGGCTGTCTGTTGGCCTGAGCTGGCTCCCATGAAAAGTTCAATCCCCAGTGGAGATGTGCGCATGCTCCCGACAGGCGGGTTGGACGCTCTGGCCCCTTCTGACAGAGAAGGGGCTCCTCTCCAGAGCAGAGGTCTCCTCTTCTCTGTGCCGGTCCCAAGCTCAGCACCCCTAGCACCCCTTTACTCCCTGTGCCTCTGTGAAAGCAGGGCCCTCCCCAACATGCAATAACCCCACACAACCTCTGGGTGGTGCTCTCCGACCACAGGGCACAACAGGAGCCGCGAGCTCGGCAGCCTCCCAGGGAGCCAGGACACAGCCTTTTTAGAGAGAAAACTATGACTATGAAAATTTAAAAATCACTGCCATCGAGTCAATTCTGGCTCAGAGCGACCCTATTGGACAGAGTAGAACTGCCCCTGTGGGTTTTCAAGACTGCCATGCCTTATGGAAACAGAAAACATCCTCTGTCTTCCTCAGAGCCACGGAGCTTCAAACTGCTGCCCTTGGGTCTTGAAGTTCAATGTGTGACCCGCAATGCCACCTTCATGGGCAGGTAGGTATGTAGGTGTGTGTGTGTACACTCTTTCGTCCTTTGTCACTTCAGCTAACCCCAGTCTGGGGCAGGGCCAAGCGGGAAGTGTCTATTTCAAGGGCCGAGCCTCCCAGCGTCTGTATCTGTACAGCAACAAGCCAGGAGACCTTGACTGCGGCTCTCTCTGGTTTTCAAATTCCACCGAAGACCGGTGCATTTGAATGCCGGTGCTGGAGCCGGCTGGAGAGAGGACCGAGGGCTGGCGGCGGAGCACACCCATCTGGCTCGGAAGAGGCGGAGCCAGAATTATTCTGAGGGGCCGGGATGGTGACATTTCATCTCATGTACTAG